GATCATCTCTGTATTTACTAAAATGCTGTCCAAAAGGCAGCCTTTAGGCAAGAAAGGATATGATGTTCAAGACAAGTTCAAAAACTGAGGGCACAGAGGCTAAAAAATTTAAAGTGGAAAAAGATGCATCATGAATTGTTCAGATACAGAAGAGCTCAGGACTTAAAATAAGTGGGAAGTAGTTGGACCTTCTTTATATAACTCTCACTGCTTTGCCCTCTCTGCTACCAGCCATTGCCTTCACAAAAGCCTAAATGCAGAGAAGACTCAAAAACGTGTGTGCTAATCAGTGTCTTGATAACGAATGCAACACCACCACCACCAAGACTGCTAGACTGCACCCAAACTTAACAGAATGTCTACATATATATTGTCTCAATCTCATCTTTAAATATACATATAATTCCATCAGTTAGGCTGTGCATATTCGAGAGACAAGCCACAACATCAAAACAAAAAAGTTCTTGAGAACAGAAAATTTTGATTTGTCAACTACATTCAACTACGAAAGCTTATGACATTCAAGGTCCCTGTTTTGAAGTTTGAGGAACAGTTTGCAGAAGTATGCTGCAATCTCCACATCAATGGGCTTCACGGCTAAAATAAAATTTGATGGATTTTGCAGCGGTTATCTTTCAAGGATATCACATAAAACCTTTTTCTTCCCTATCCTAAACAGGGTTTAATTCTTCTGTCCGTGTTCCCTTGACTATGTCCCCTATCTTAGATTTTTAATACATGCATGATATACATAAAGTGCCTGTCTGTGTTCAAGAAGCATTTAGACAACACTCTTGAGATGTATGGTTTAATTCTTTAGGCTGCCCTGTGTGGTGTCAGGAGTAAGACTCAACGATCTTTGTGAGTGCCTTCCAACTCAAGGGCTTTCAGTGATTTATGTAGGGAGATAATATTGTGTAGCACTAGTCTTGGAAGAATTCAATAATGTAGTTTGAAATTTGAACAAGGTCTTACAATTAGTTTTTCTCTCACTTGGAATTAATAAACACAGTGTTTCAAAACTGTGAAGTACTTCACCTTGCATGGAACTGATGGGAAAGGCAGACTAGCTATTTACAACTTTTCCCTCATACTTTTAACTGTGTGAATTTGTTCTTAAACTCTTCCTGTGTAATCAAAATCACAACTACCACCCACTCAGTAAACTCAAGAAATAAACCCACATATTTCTATTTTCCCATTATTAGCATGCATACATCTCATTTTATAAGCATCTGTCTCAAAACACACTGTTAATTTGAGACTTGCTTCACTCTGTGATCTAATGCTATACCTATTATTTTAGAACACACCACCAGGCAGTAGGGTAGCAATGATGATTGCGCAATAGTTATCAAATCACCACGTGTTTCCTGTTGTCCCAAAGTAACATAAAGGCACCCACCCACTCAGTAGATCTTTCCTTTGGCATTATCTGCAGAAAAAAGGGTAAGAGCTGTCCTATATTCTTAGGATAGCTTGTACACAATCTAGGGTTGCTCCTTTTATCAACAACTGTGCTGTCCATGAATAAGGAGGCACTGAATTTTTCTCCTGAAGCACAGTTACACAGTTCTAATTACATTAAAACATCTAATGCGACCCACACCAGAGAACAGCAACAAGCCTGAATTGTCCCTTACAATAAGAACATGTAACACCTGCTACAGTTTGCAAAATCCTATGGTGGGCAGAGAAAAAAAAAATAGTACTTTGGGAATCAGTCAACCACAAGGTTGGGGATAAATGTATACCTGATGAACACAACACATTTCCAGTATATGCATAACAAAATTATGAGGTCAATCATGTGTCGATGTGTCATTTCACTAGAAACTGCAGAATGAGATTAATAAATACTATCTTCCTCTGAGAAACAGGCTATCAAATTCCATCTGGAAATTATTTTTAAATGAGAGCTTAAGAATAAATATGTAGTGCCTGTGTCCCTATAGTTAAATATCGGGCACATCACAAAACAGCCCTACTTGGAGCTGTGGGGTTATGAATACAGCACAGCTCTGACTCAACTAAACAAACATGTCACACAGGGGCATTTTCAATCCACGTGAATACTAATGCCGACCTAAGGCAGAAGCAGCAGCAGTTTAAAAGGCATTATTTTCCTCATACAGGCTTCCAAACCACAAGTACACTCAGTGAAATCAACTAAAATTGGATTTAGAAAGCCTACAAAATAGGCCATTAACTTCATATGAAGTTACATAAGAAATTTTTAGATCTGATTGGTTTCACATCAATGACAAAAAAATTGAAAATGGTTGATTAAGCAGGCAAACAGCCAATTAATGGGTTTTCGTTTGTTTGTTTGTTGTTGTTGTTAAATGACTGGTCCAGTATTATCTGCTTTAATAATTTATAGCTCTATTAAAAAAGCGTGATCAAAAACCTTCAGAAGCCGAGCACTTGGACAGCAGTTGAGGGTCTCTGCTATAAGACAGAATGTGGAATTTCACCCGCACTCAGTTTCCTTTGCTGTTATGCCTGAAATAGCCAAGTTGATGACAATTTCTAACACACCCTAATACAGATTGATGAAAGACCTAATAACAAGGAGCTTCAGGTATATGACAGCTCATCGCTCTACACTGCTAAACAGCTACTCCAATGCCTTTGTATCAGTTCAGCTAGAGTCTGTACTAAAGTCTGTACTAAAGGACTCTAGTGAAGTCCCATAAGCATGATTTCTCTGTAGTTGTACACCACTTTCCTCGCTCTACCCTAACAGACAGCTGTATCTGATGATGTAAATCAAATGAGGAAACTAAGAATATCCTATAATTATATACTTGCTACTGACAGATTACGAGCAAGCATAAAGAATAGGAATTACGCTTTCCAAAATGTTACAAAAGGAATTTGTTGAGGCCTGTACACTAGATATGGATTTGAAAATACAGAACAATCAATAAATCAGGAACTATTAAGTCAGCACACAAAAGAGATATGAGGACATCTCCTGACTATCAAATTATTTGCAGTTCTGAAGCAGTTAGACCACTAAAGCAAAGTCTAGGCATTAAATATCATACAAATAGTACAAATCCACAACCCAAACAAAGCCAGAATTGAGACTTCAGCTGATTTCTGACAACAGTAAAAGAAAAAGGAGTAATCTACGTTTGTGCAAACGACTCTTTTTTCAAGATACATCAAAGCTGACGTGTAAATCAGGTGAGAAGTGTTTGCACTGCTGCAACTGCTATCTAACTGTCAGTCAAGCAACTAACAATGTTTTCTGCAGCAGGAGATTAAGACCAACTCAAACGAACTTTCCACAGAGTTTATAGCAGATGTTTGTTTGTTGTTTTTAGCAATGTACCTGCCAAAAATATTTTGAGATTAATTGGTTCTAGTAATTGCATACAAAAAAAGGATATACTTAAATATCAACTCTGTTGCCTTAAAATACACAGGTGAAGTACATGGCACAAGCTACACATCAACCAATACCACACAACTGGCTCTTCAGGAATCATACCAAGGATCTATGAGAACCACAAAGAGGTCCATTTTTAACTGCCAAAGGCAATTAAAGTAATGTAATTTAAAGAATAATTTTGCAATCTGACTGCCAATCTGTACTACAAACAGATCCTTTTCAACACCAAGGGATTCTTCTGATCCCCTTAGTCCAGAAGATAGTCTTGTTACTGGAGTCTCAAACTAATAATTTTTCGAACTGAGTGGTAAAGCGAAAACCCAGTGTCTTGCAGCATTTTTGGAAGCTGTATGTACTTTAGGTGACAATGAGCTACTGGTGCTGCATTTTTGACTCCATGTCAAAAATATTTTATTTTTCACACTTCAGCATAACCCAAATCAGTCATTTTAGTCTAAAAATTTTGCTGCTGCCAGTAGAGAGATTTTTGAACTACTATTTGTAGTCTGGACCAAGTGTTTACACAATGAATCAAGCTAAGGACCCTATAGCAGTACTGTGGCTTCAACAAGCCTTCAAAGAGGGCAAAGTACATGGAACCAACAGCCAAAATTAGCTCTTGTACTAGAGCATCAGAAACAGTGACTTTTTACAGGTCATTTTCTTACAGTATAGCTAGTACTTCTCAAAATCCACAAAAACAACACAACACTGGCAACATCTCGAGAACCAGTGTTCTTCATTTCAAGGCTACAAAGAGCTTAGAGAGACTTTCTACCTACAGTTCATTACACACTTAATACATTTTTTTTCTCCCTGTTAGGAAAAGAGAATGGGCTTGAGCCAAGCTAAATCAGAAGCATGGAAGGACTTCAAACTCTACAAGTGAATTTTTAATCAAGACAACTATTGTTACAATTAGCTCCTTAACTGTAAGGTTTGCTACAAGAGCCTATCAGTTCATTCAAGGCAGCCTGAACTGGCCTGACTGCACAATTATTTTCCGCCAACATCACAACCCTCACAATCAGGATGAATCCTCTTACACACATTGCAAGCATCCATTCAGTGAAGGATTAGCATAATATTAAGGCCATCTGAAGTACAGAAATGAACAGCACTGAATGTTTTATTGTGCAGCCATTTGGTTATGCGCAAGAGGGGATAACCCAGCCAAGACATCTGGCACAAATTACCATCATCGCAGTTTTTCTGCACCATTTTTAAAACTCGAGTCAGCACCTGCATGTTGATGTTGAAGTCGCAACACGTTTCCAGGGCCTACTCTTAAGCAAAGCCAGTCTGGCAAGACTGAAGAACTGAAATAGCAGTCTGCTTTGGCACAAAATTAAGCGGGCACAGAATACTCCACCTTCCTTATAAAGCTCAATATTACAAGGCTAAACATCCAGATATTTTTTTTTTTAAAAAAAATGGAAAGGGCCTATTTAAAACAATATTCCTCTCTCTGTTCATAAACCTAGTCATGAGATACCACTCTACCACTTGTAGCTGGCTATTCCCTTTTTCCTGTCCTGGCTCAGAGAAGCTGGAAGCATGAATTAAGTCATATTCACGGCTCTCCTGATTCACCTACCTGATATAGGGATCCCTCCCAGACCTGTGCTGTGTTGTGGTGGGAGATTCAAGTCCAAGAAATTACTATTTGAGGTGGGATTTGCTGTGTGGTTCAAGTGCATGATGCTATTGCGTGGGAAGGCCATCCAAGGATAGCGAGCTGCTTGGCCTGGAAAACTGAAGGAGTTGTAAACTGCTCGATGCTGTTGAAACTGTGGGAACCTCTGTGGCATGACTGGAAAGGTGCTACTGAGAGAGTTGGCATTTGTGGGTGCAGCAGGATGCAGGAATCCAGAGCCTGGCCCTTTGGCAGTTGTAGTGTGTGGGGTAGGGTTCTGAAGAGATGTGGGCGAGAGGGAAGGTTGGTCTTGGACTGACAGTTCCTTCTCAATCAGGTCTGCTAAGGCTTTGCGGGTGATGTCAAAGGGGTCAAACCCTAAGTCGTCCTCTTGCTGTTTGGAGGAACCAAACCCAAAAGCCGCTTGCCAGTCTGTGGAGGAGGACACTGGTATAGTTTCTGTTGGAGAGGAGACAAACAAAATTTAGAGGAAGAATTAGTAACTATTTATCCATACAAAAATTTTAGCCTTGGCGTACCTGAATCTGCATTGATAGTTATCTTTCATATTATCATACATGCTTTATGCATTTTCAAAGACACCTTATTCATCAGCTTAGGGCACCATTTTCAGGTCAAACTGTCATAGGTTTCTGCTTAAGGTTAAGTGACAGAACTAGCACATACTATTTTAATGGCAGGATTGCTCTGTTCTGGAGTTATAGAAAAGCCTTGTCACATAAGTATTTTCATTTTTAGAACCAAGCAGAAAGAGACAAAAAACACACTTGCTTAGAACCTTCCTTACATTCTTATTACTTGAAGGAAGTGTGACCAAGCAGAGTTTAAATAATTTTTATTCAGTTCAATATTTTGCTTTCACTATTAATGCTGTGCTTCAGCTCTACTGTGCAAGAAATGCAGGGAAGAGATGTTCCATCTCAAAGAGGGAACATGCAAGCAGTGGTTAAAAACAAATGAAAAAACCACACACACTGCCTACCATTATGAAGAAGAACAAGCCAAATTCTTGACTAGACACCTTGATACAGCAATAGGAAATAAAGAACTACATTACAAGATGTCATTATATATATATATATAGTGTTGCAGAAAAAGTCCTATTAGAATTTCCCTGCATTTTCAATTACTACTTCATTTAATTATACTGTTTAAATTTCTTAATCAGGTTGAGTGGGTCTAGTTTCACAGTATTTTTCCTCAAAACTGGGGTAATGCAAGCTGATGAGTACAAGGTAGTATCACTCACAACATTAACTCCCTCTGCTGGCAGGAAACCTGGTCTGCTGCTTTAAGTTAAAATTAAGCTTAGCATCCTCTCTTAGAAAAGAAGTCCACACTTTTACTTTCACTCTAAAATCCATGAGGATATACAGAGCTACTAGGCAAAACCCTGTACTTTGTATTCTTATTTAAATAACAACCATGCATTTTATATTAATTATGAAACAAACAAGATCTCTACTGCCTGGAAATTATCTGTAACTGCTAATTAATCCTCAAAACACACCTCTGCATATAGTACCTTAGCAGCAAGTAGCTTTCCTTAGTAAAAAACATTGTTTACAAACAGGATTATGACAGAAAAACATGAGAAGGCAAGTAATCACTAAGGAAATCAATTGTGTCTTAAAGTATCATTTACAGTCTATTTATTACTGATACTGTTTAATTTAGTTTTCTACCAATTCCCTCAGGTTTTTAACTTGTGAGCTCTTAAATAGCGTTAACCATTCTCAAGACTATATAAATATATCTAAACTGATGTTTCATTCGTATGAAGTGGTATTTCATAGGAAAGTACCTGGAAAATACAAGTATCTCTTGGCTGATGTAATCAACCATATATTTTTATCTTTTCCTAACGTATGTAATCTCACTTCAGAAAAGATCAGGCACCTTCAGATAACTATGCAGTTTTGAATTTCAGTGCACAGCTGCTGATGCTAGAATTATAGATAACAGATAATTACACTAACATATACTGACATTGCATATTTTCCCCACTTTCAGTAAAAACCTGTAAAATTAAATATTAAGCATACATATCATTCTATTATTTAGAAAGGCATATGGCTAAGAAAAACTACAATAAGCACTCAGCTAATTTAGCAATGTAGCTCGATAACTCTGGAAAATGTCTTTCAGAAGAAACTCTTACTTCAGTGCAATTAATTTTTAGATAGGTGGCAAAATTTAATAATTTCCAAAAGGAAAAAAACAACAGTATGGAGTAAGCCCTAGAGCTTTTGGTACTACAGTTTCAGCCATCAGCTGCAAAAGCAAGCAATACCCAGCACGTAACCTGTGTACATACCTGATGTGAAGAGGCTCTGTGGTTCTGGTGCTGTGGGCCAGTCATTTGAAGTCTGTGGAGAACTGGGGAATGGAGGAAGCCCACTAGGGATGGGGTTAGGGTGCCGGAAGTTGTCAGAGAAGAGTGATTGTGACTCTGTTACAGCCCCTTCAAAAGGAGACCGTGCACTGTGATTAGATGAACTGACGGGTATGACTGGATTGGGTTTTGTTAAACCAGGCGGTGGTGAAGGTGTGTCGCTGTTTGTTATCTACAGGCAAGAGAGGATGAGAAACAATTAGGACCTGTTCATATATAAAGTATTTTCACTAACTACAGTTGAAAAATGTCCTCAAAAATTTTGGCTGCAGTTAGATTAGTTAATATAAAGCTCAGTACAAAGCTCAATACAAGTTCAAACATAAGAAACAACGCAGCAGTAGCATTTTTAAAATTTTGCTTAAAATCATGATATACTTCAGAAAGTACTTGCTTCTCCAACTACAAGTTACACCAAGCCCTCAAACTTAATTTTCACTTTCACATCATTTATCTTTATGTCTCACCTGCTGGGAGCTGTCACCATTTCCTATACTGAGGGAATCTGAAGGTTTGTCAATAGGGCTGCAAAAGTAAGAGGGAGGAAAAAAAAGACAGTAAGACACTCAAGTATTTGATGTGAAAATCAACATTTGCTTTTGTGGTGGTAGAAAAGCCTTGAAATAGAGACAAAGCAAAAATTAATTAGGATGAATTAAGAAGGTAAAAAGCCCATTTATTTATGACACTTGTGTTTTTTAATTCCAATAATTTGTCATACACTGTAATACTTCCTCCTACCACTCTTGACTGTGCTTGCTGACTGCCCTGTTAAGAAACAAAAGGAAAGTTTTTAACACATTCACAGTAACTCTATACCATTAAAAAAACATTAGAAAACAGGACTCTTGTACTACAGCAATATTCCATAGTACTTAGTTCCACCTATGTTACTACCGGAGAGGACCTTGGGAGCAGATTTGTTTTTCAAATACCTAAATTGTCAGTTTTCATAAAAATCCTAAATAAATCTGTGGAAAGACAGAAGATTACATTAACTATTTAGGCCTGGTGGAAGTCAAGTTTTCCACCAGCCTTCAAGCTTCAACTAGCAGTAGTAGTAGTTCCAAGCTAAGAAAACTGAGTTTTGAGATGACAGAAAGGGAAAATGCAGAAAAAGACACAGCATAAGCAAACTGTCAAATATAAAGAGAATAAAAGATAGGATGCATCAGAAAATCACCTCAGAAACCTATTCACTGGGAATTAACACGACTTGGCTGATATGGCACATCTTAGGATTCAAGATTCTGACTGGCATCTGTGAGTTGCCTTAATTATGCTAATGCCACACTAATGAAACAGTATTACTTCAAGTTCAGATTAAAATCTCTCATTTACAACTTTAAGGTACTTCCTGCGTACCTTGAACTTACGGGTTTTTATCTACCCATAAGAGAAGATGCACAAGCACTAGGCTACATAGCCCAAAACACCAGTCCTACAAACAAGGACCACAAGCAAGAATATGAATTTCAGTTCTGTTAAGAGGCCAGAATATGATGCATATCAAACTACAGGCTTGACGTATTAGCACAAGACAAATTATATATATAGTAATTATTTTGACTGGGTGCAGACTTCAGATTCTAGCTACACCTTGTTTTCAAATGACCCTTGCTGCTGCAAAGTTTAAATATTGCACAAAGCCACATACCAAGGTCAAAAATTCATAAGACTACTTCCTCCCTTATTTGTTCTCCCCATCCTAGAGTAACTAGAGTCAAAATCCAGCAGAATTAATTCTTCTCCATTCTAAAGAAACTGTAAGAGCAATCCATAAATAAAAATTTTTGTGCAAAAGAACACTGATGGAGTGTCTCCTAAAGATAACTGCAGCACTTATGACTGTAAAAGAAAAATCAGAGGAATATACTTGCAAACAGGCATTACTGCAGTGAAGATTTACAAATACTTCCTACTCAGAGGCTGAACGGCACTAATAAAGTTCTTCTAAGGTAGTTTGTTTCCAATGGATTACTACTTTCTGAATACCTACAGCACGAAAGTTTGCTGTAGATTCTTCTCCATGCAATCATTCTGATTGTACAGCTGATATTCCAGTCCAATTCTCTTTTCAAAACTGCTGACAGGAAGTCATAGAAAGATATGGGGAAGACAACTTCTAATGACAATCTAAGTGTTGAAAATGTTTATTATACCTGAACCTGCCTAAGAAGCCCTTAACTGTAAGGCAGGCTTCCAGTCCTCAGGAAAGAACAAGATTCAATATCTACCAGTTACCATATTTTTTACCTACCCTTAGTACATTCTTTTCACAAAAAGATACAGAAGCTGCAGGTCACTACTGAGATGCAACCATAGGACCTCTGACCACACCTCAGCGGGACTGCTAATAAGCATAAAAAGGTACCACTTTCGACAGCATTCACAATGTTAAAGCATCAGTTTGACACTGATTTAAGATAACCATCAGCTACTTAATTGTCAACACTACTTCTTGAAATACTAGGGTTTACCTTATTTTTCCCTCTAAGTTCTGAGTGAACTCAACTGACATTACTTAAGGGGGTCCATAACAAACAAACCAGCACAACTACAGACTACCACCAGAACTGCAAGTGATGCTCATGATATGATGGAAGAGGACACCAGCTCTACTCAAGGAGCGCACCAGGAGAGGAAAAGAAAATAAAAATGTTGGTTAGCAATAAGGAAGTTATTGCAAATTGACAAATCACTTCCTCTGCAACAAAGAAGCCTGAGATGAATCTGCTGCCCTGCTGTTCCCATTACTGTGTACTAAAATCAGGGAGCCCTTACCTCTGCAGTTGTCTTTCTGGAACACACCACTGGAAGGAGATGACTGATATTCAGCCCTAACACTTAGCTTCCTTCTGTTGAAGCTTTTCCAAGTTGCAAGCCTCCTGATGTACAGGAGCTAGCGTGTGTTACTTTTGTAAAAGCTTCTGTATAGAAATGGAAGGCTCAGCTCTGGCTGGGGCCATGCAGCTACATAAGCTGTGGATCCTCTGGTTATTCTGTTCCCCTCAGCCCTTACCTGTACCATCACTTACTAACTTCACGTTGGGGTTCTGCGCAATCCGCCAATTGGTCTTTTTTGACATGGGCAAAGCTAAGCCCAGCTTCTTGTGACCTGATCAGGATTTGAATCCAGCTCTCCAACCAGAGAGAGTCTGGAGAATCATTCCCTCCACACCAATCAGTGAGAGAGAAAGCAAGCTATCTGAAGTATAAAAGGCAGCACAATTACCCGAAATCTGAGTCTGCACCATCTGGAGTCATGTGTTCTGGGTCTGTGCCATTTTCTAATATAGGAGGCGTTTTCCTGTGTTCCATTGTTAAACCGTTGGCTGATTTACTTGAACTCTGTAATGATGGCCAGGCATCTTTGTTATTACTGTTGGGTCTGGAAAAAGGCAAGAGTAAAAAAAAAAAAAAAAAAAGAAGAGTTCAAGTTATGAAGAAAGTGTTTTTAAAAAATTGTAACCACAGGGGAAACGAATCCTTGTGCCAGACAATCCATAAAAATAGATTTATCTGGATATTATTTCTCAGATTTTAAATGGTGTCAATTTAAAAAAAAATATAATTAGTGGGGTAGGGAAGGGAGAGAGAAAACTGGGGGTAATTTTTTCTGCTTTCTTCACTGAATAAATAGCTGTTCTGCCAACGCTGGAGTCCAAACTTGTCCATTTTGGGGAAAGGAAAAAAAATAATAAAAAACCCCCAAAACCTAAAAATTCATGAACAGCTTCAAGTATCCAGACCTACACACACCTCATTTTGAATTACTTCCTTTAGCCCATAAGTATTTTTAAGTTCTGTAAATTGTGAACTAAATCACTTTTTTGCTTTTAAATAAATGCTTTAGATTCCAGGCCCTAAAAAGCCTGGTCCCAACAGATGAAGTTTGTGTTTTACACCTACGCAAGAGTCCACAACTTTAGTAATACACAATGAGACCCATCATACCACCACGCTCTTCAAGTTATTGCTCCCTTAATTTTTAGTTTAAAGCCATTATTATTTCCTTTTTACAAAGTAACATTACATTTCATTTCAAAATGCACCTTAGATCTGTAAGAAGTACAAGAGAGGATTCAAAGCCCAAGTTTTTGCTGAAAATAGTTACTTTTATCCAGTGGTATCCACTAATCCTACAATCTTATTACTATTAACTTTAGCTTTTTGTTTGCTTCAGTTAGGATGCTGTTCTTAATCTCCAAGTGCTGTCATTGTAAGGAACAGGCTTTGAAAAAAAAGTATTTTTTAATACATATGTTCATCTTGATGCCTACCCTTCATTAATATCTTATTACATGGTCCAAAAATTACTCTGCATCTCTAGGTCGGTTTACTAAGTTCACAGTCAGAATCTAGAAATTCCTACAGCTGCTTATATCAACACAAATGTTTATTACTCCTATACAGATAAAATCGGTACTAGTAGCTATCATCAAATCCGAGTTAGTATTCCAAGATTTGTTACTCTACCTCCATCTTTGTTCATATACTTATATACATATATATTTATATGAGAGCCTTGACCTGATTTACAGATTTCATCTTTGCTTTGTACACATTTGAAATAAGTTAGAGATAGTAAGTTGATCAGGTATTGAACATCAAGGAATGAAGACATAATTAGCACAATGTCAGTCATTTAATATTCTAATCCTTACATAAATGAGCTGTAATCTAGATATAGCAAGACTTCCAAGCCATTAACATATTTATTCTAAATATTACAATTTAAATCTGCTGCAGTACAAAGCCATGTCCATACTAAAACTAACTTTAAAATGTCACACTTAGAAGTCAGTTCTGCATTCAAGGAGAAAGGTAAAGAAAAACTGGTTTATGTTCTGGGGTGGGTTTCCGTACATATAGGGGGTTTTGTTTCGTTTAAATGCAAGGCTGCGCGCTTCTAAAGCGCTGTTCTCTAAAAGACCAGCAACTGTATAACAAGGGTTTCCACTTGTAGCATAAGCAAGCGTTCATTTCAGTTATTTAGGAAAAGATCAATAGGAAAAGAAATTAAAAACTTGATCTGTTTTAAACATGGAATATACTTCTAATTACAAGGGAAAGCAGTCACCATGACTATCAAGTGACATACTGAGAGATGAGCACTGGAGAATTTTTACATTTGCCTTCATCAGCAAGAAAAAGGTCTATGAGCAGGAACTTTCAAATTAGAACACAATCATGAAAAAGCATTTATGCATAGTTTGTTTCATACAGCTGGCCATTTATACTTGAACATCTACTATTTAGAACTCAACTTCTGTTCAATTCCAGAGTGAAACAGAAATCCTGAACTCCATAAATACAAGAGCAACCACAAAATTGTCAGAGGCTCCGACAAAGTGTCAGAAATATTAATATCGTATCTATGAATCAGACAAAACCAAGAATGCCATTGGGCAGAAAGCTGTGAAGGAAAACAACACGCCTTTACAAGCTCACAAGCTACGTTTTCTACTGATGAGACAGGACTCGAAGAAACACTCAAAATCCCAGCTGCAGGAAGAAATTCACTTTGCAACCCAAAAAGGTGTTAACAAAGAACTCCAGACCACTTGTTGCCTTTAAATTGCCATTTTTAATACAAGCGTCAAAGTGTTAGCACCACAGACTGGCCAGCTCCAATTCAGAGTTGCTTTCTGAAGTCTTCAGGGTTTGCTGCAGTTTCAGATAGAGCATTCTCTCCTCATCGGTATAATCTGTTTTTCTGGGACCTAATTAGGTTTCAACTTCAGATTAGTTCAGAGTTTGAATATAAAATAATATAAATAATATAAAATAATCAACACCCAAACACAGGAAGTGGTGTATTTGCTTTACTTGCTGCACTTTACCTTCTAAGTCAATACTAAACTAGTGCCCAAGAAATAAGAAGTGGCACAGTCCTCAAGAAAACATCCAGCTAGAGGTTCTGATCACTTGCAGTCACATGACACTTCCTCCAGAAGTTAAAGAAAATAATCCCAGTACACCAGCTGGGATACCAGTTCTCAGAATTATATTCTGCTTAGTCAAGCTCCACTAGCAATATTTCAGATACAGGATCCACTTTCTTGCTTAAATTGCTGTGCAGTGATGCTGCCAGTGGCAAATTGTCCAAAAAATTCAGATAAATTACGACACAAGCCCCAATTACTAGGCCAAGGTGTGTACAAAGTGCAGTCTAACTTTTACTATTTCCACCCTGCACATCTCATTATGAAAATTCTACAAAAAGGAGCCCAGGAAATTAACATTTTTTAGAATCTTTATCTTAAATATGACATTTGAGTGGATAGTTCATATAAGGACTGATAACCTGAGGCCTTCCATTTATCCTTGCGTGACTATGTACTCATATGGACAGAAGTCTTTTCATAACTTACTTAACAAACTATTAACAGGCAGTAATAAGCCACATCTGCAATTACAACATAGTAAAAAATAAATCATTTTAGTTTATTAGCTAAAACCAAGATATCTTTCATTCATACACAAAAGAAACTCATTTTACTTTCAATTTCCAAGGTCCTGACACCTAACATAAGGACTGGAGTATAAATCATGATGTAAAAAGCACAGTAAGAAACATATCAAGACTATAAGACACCTCAGCTGTGAGAGTACAGACTGCATTCATCATGACACTACACCAAGGAAGCTGACATACAAACTTTAACAAATTTAAGTGTTTATGGAAAACATAAAGTATAAGGTCTTTCAAAATAAGAATACCTCATTCTGAACTAGTGATCCAAATGCACACAGCAGAAAAACATTTCTTTACCAAGTAATACTCTCTCTCAATTTGTTGTAATACAAAGTGGTGCACATGTCTCCACACAGAGAAAACTGGTACTGGTTTATCAACGTCAGTACTTACGCATCATACCTCTGCAGTGCTGTCACTTTGTTCTTGTTCTTGTCAACTGTACCCGTAGATAACTGGAGAAAGTTGGGGTTTAATTTGTATAATTCTTGCAGTAGTTTCTGTTCATATTCCTGATGCTTACCCGCCTAAGGAAAGACAAACTCACGATGAATGAATGCTGGTTTAATATCTATTTTTATAGGTAGAAAAAAATATTTTTATATATAAATATACAAATACACAGCCCCTAAAAATTATTTTTATATATAAATATACAAATATACATCCCACAGCTCAGTAATAAGGCTTTAACAACTTAACAGGTGACTCCTGGCTGAAACTCAAACCAGTGCTTCTCAATCTCAGCACAGGCATGATCTCAATGAATCTAAAGCTTGCCCAGAAATCACTCTGATATATGGACCAATTAGTAATTTTCTGAGAGATTTATAAAGCAGAGAAATAGTTACAACCTTACAAGAACTTGCTCTTCAGTTTTAACCACAAGTTCTACAATATACCTTCTAAATCACAAACAGCTAGATCTCCAAGACAAGGCTGCAATTAATTTATCAACCATACTAAGATTTTCAGAAGACAGGAAGGAGTGAAAATCTCTCTTTTAAACCAAAACAAAACTAATTTAATAACAGATTAATAAAAACAGCTGAGGTGATCTGAGTGTTAACTATCATGTAATAAGAGGTATATTCTGAGCAATAACTGATAAATCATTTTTTTTTCAAAACAGGAATATGCTAGGTTTTCAGTTAACTGAATTAACTGAGAATTTTTTGTGATCAAAAATTGAGGAAGGCCAATTTTGAAGCCAGTGAGTGAAAGAAGAGAGTATGCCAGTCTATCCTATCCGTAACACTCTTGGCTAAATATTTGAAACAAAGTCAGCTATATCCTCTCCTCCAAATATTTAAAGTGACATCTGAAACAAATCCAAGATGTACATTCATGTATTTGTCAGTTGTTATACTAGTCCAACCTCAGAACTACTACTTGCAAGTTAAGTATTGTAATGAGCTGAATCAAGATGCAAAATAGAATCGTGAATTTGAAGTTGTCAACAGCTTTTATCTAGAGTTTTCAGATACTAAGAGATGTTCTTTAGCAAAGGAAACAAGTATCAAGATTTATGGTCAGACCTTCTGAATCTTAAGTCTGGAACACATGTAAATATCACATTTTCAGTATTGATTTAAAAGCTCTCACATTACTTGTACACCTAAAAATTAACACTTTCATATTACTTCATTCTTTTTATAAATATTTTCTTGGAACAGGAACGGAATTGATGCACAGGCAATGTGGACATCCTCCCAGAAAAAAACCTAAACAAAAAACTATTGCTTGTTTCACTTATAAAAAAATAAATACCACAAAGAAACCAAAAAAGTAGGAATGTTTGACAAAATTCAGGAAACAGTACTGTTGGGAAACTAAATTCCCTTATGGGTCCTTCAGAAGGGCAACTGCGAGTCAGTCAAACACTATAAATAGCTCCATTTTTTTGCTACTTAATTTTCCAATTTGTTACTTGTTGATTCTGAATGTGTCTTTATGTAGACAACTCTCAAAAAGGACACTGAAACACTGGTGTATGCAGCATCTTATCCAATTTTGTCAGTGTCTACACCCAAGCTAGTCCCTACAGTAGCAAAACACGGTTCTAGAGTATGGTTCACTTAAATGCAAACTTTGAGATATATTACACTATTACACACTGGTAAAGCTTTATTTTTGCCATCTGCAATGGACAGAATATAAGCAAACAGCTCAGATGCACAGATCTGCACTGCAACCGTTAAGCAGTCGAGTAAAAAAAAAAACAAAACAACCTCCTGGGATGTTGGCAAAAGACTGAACATCATGATCAGGAACACTGGGCCAGTCCTAAGCTCACCTACCTGTCACATAAACCTAAGGCAGAAACAAGATTAAAGTCCTATACAAGAGCTTGCAGTAATCATGATTTATAACAAGCAATCCAGAGGCCGAACTTAGCATCTCCAACCTACTTTACCTAAATCCCCAACTTCATTTTCAGAGACTTCCTGGAGTCCTACCAGTTCTTTTCAGTTTGTCACAGTGTTTAAGCTCTATTAACAGTTATTGAACCTAGAAGTTGGGGTCATCCCCTGACGATTTTAATTTTTTTAAATACAAAATCAAAGTCTGTCACAATGAACATTCAACCTCATTAAATGACCCTGTAAATTCCCTGACACTCACTCAAATTCCAGAAAGCTGGTGCACTGAAAGTACAATGCACTTTTCAATAGCTGTGCAATTTACAACGATTTCCAAGAAAGTAATACAAAACCAAGGAAGTTTAAGGAACATAACAAGGAACAGGAAAGAAAGATTCATTTAAGTCACCAAGATCAAGTAAAATCCACTCAAGACTTCAGAAAGAACTCACATGTGAAACTGAATTCCTGTCCAACGCATGTAGCTTATCAATTTTAACTGGCAGTTAGGCCAGAGGACTGAACGATTGCCACTGCCTTCTACAAAAAGGGTTGTAGAAAAGATCCTGTGAACTACAGACTGCTAAGTCCACCTTCCATCCATAAAGTCTGTTTCAAAAAACAGAACTCTATTTCACTAACATGATGGAATTTTATGATCGTATCTGTAAGTATAACTAAAGAAAATCCACAAAATTTTATAAAAAGCCTTTGATTAGGTTTTAAATGAGAAGTTTTTTACAAAGCTGAGATAGAGGAAAGGTTTTTTGAGTGAATTGAAACTGGTTCAAAGACAGAAAAGCAAAGTTAAGACTTAGTAGTCACTCTTTCAACATGCAGAAGCAAGCAATGAGGAATGACGACCAGAATCAGTTTTATGTACCACCATCAACATGAATGAGAAATAAGTAAAGAGCAAGCTCCTCGCTGACAGTACCAAGCTCTTCAGGTAGTGAACTGCCAGGCTGATAATGAGGAACTCTGAAAGAATCCCAGAGAACTCAGCAAATAGGCAGCAAACAAGCTTCACCAGAGGCATGTCAGGTAACACCCTCAAGTAAAAGTAGCCTAAACCATACTAACACTCTATTGACTTGTGAACTGGCTGCTACAGTTCAGAACAGAGGTACTGAGCTTACTGCCAGATCTCTGAAATTGTCAGTTAACTGGCAACCAAACACAAAATGTGATGGGCATCATTAGGAAAGGCATTTAAAAAAAAAAAAACAAACCAGCAAACAACAGAAACCCAAAATGCCATAAACCACCGCACACAAAACATCAGGGACTGCTGTATGAAATTCTGCTTCCCCAACATCATGAGTATGTGTCTGCTTCTCAAGGAGGGCATGGTTAGAAGGTACAGTGTAAGACAGAAATCCACAGTTAAAAGGTAAAGTGAAAGACAGAAATCATCACAGAAAGGGAGGTGCCCAGAAACGCTGCGATCTGGAGAGAAGGCTGAGAGATAAGATAAAGTTTTACAGCTTCAAAAAGGCAATGGATAAGGAGAATAAGGGTTTTGCTTTTAGCAAGTACTACAATGCTAGGATTAGGAAACACCTGAAAAAAAAAAAATCTAACTGGAGATCAGTTTAACACATGTGAAAGAAAGCACTATACAAAACAGCTGGTGAAATTCTGGGGCTTACTGCCACAAAAGACTATAAGGTTGTCAGTATCAGCAGGTTCAAAGTGGATTAAAATTCATGGCTGACATCTCTGAAAAACTCAGAAGCCTAGACAAGAACATACTCTCAAACATGGATAATACAACAGACACAGATAGTGCGAGAAATAGAGAGAAATGAATAGGAAAGGTGGCCTGGTTTGCAAGTTCTCTTTGTATTTCACCTCCTATTGCCATTATCCATGACAAAATATATACTACAGTGACTATTCATCTGAAGCAGCAGGGTATTTTTTTTTTCCTAACTTAGGAAAATGTAGCCAAAATCCTCAGAAATCACTGCTAATTTCTGGAAAAAATGTTTAATAGATATGGGCCTTCTTATTCTCTGGCTTACATCAGCCTAACACATGAAATAAAGTCTACTTGCACAACATTTCTGTGAGCACTAGGGGTGGAGACCATCTGCTTCATGGACAGACCACATGGAAAAGTAACAGCACGGATGCAAGGCTGGCAGACTTGAGACTGAGTTTAAAAGCTTCACCATACCTCATGTTGGTCAGACCCAAAAGACGTCAGAATGTACCACCTTTGAGAAAATAAAGCTACCCTTTTACTTGCTTCCCCTACCCCAGGTAATAAGCATTTTAATGTTGAGATAGTAAAAAAATCCTTGCATTGGTATTTAAGTTCTATTACAGTTATCCTCAATGTTTTATTTCTAAATGGATCTGCATTAACTTCTTTCACAGAGATTTAAAATAACATGTATTACCTTGCATTGGTATGAATAAAGCGCAAGTAGATAAGTCAAGGTTATTTAAATTCCTGGCTACGAGTTTACTCTCCATCTTTTTGACTCATGAACACCCAGTTGCTTTTTCAGCTTTTAAAAGCAGCATGTAATGAAAAAATTTAACTAACTGTTCACTTCCAATATCCAACTAGTTAATCACCTTTTAAATGTCAAAATTAATCTCTGCCATAACATTCAGCAAAAGGCTACATTATACACATATTAGTCTAAATTAAATACAATGAAATACACTCATGTCACATTTCATGTGCTTCCCATTCATTACACTTACCTGCATTTCCTCTTTTGTGAAACTGGCTGCTTCATCTCCCAGCTCATGTAGATACATGCAGTCTGGTTTTGGACACTGCATATTTTTTAGAAAATAACTGCAATATTTTGTTGTACCTAATGATGCCTGAAAAAGGGAAAAAATCATTACTTAAGCACTGGAGGTTAAGAATGTCTTTCACAGTGTAAAGGGAAAAAAAATAGTTATGTCTGAAAAAGAACTAAAAAAAAAAATAAATAAATTCCTTCCCAAGATTTGGAGTTCCATCATAATGCACTTTTTGATGCAGATGGACTAGGAAGTCCATTTGTAAGAAATCTATATACTTGATTAGATAATTAGTAGGTATTTATCTTTTCAATCTAAATAAACAACAAAATAAGAGCCTCAGTAAATATTTGCATTCATAATCATAAGAAGCCAAACAAGGAGTTATGAGTTTGTATTACATGAATCTGGTTAGTATTTTGTAACAGGGCTAGGAAATTAGTATTAACTAGATAATTTTCTATAGCCACCAATTTAGCCAAGTGAGCCTGAGTACCTGTTTACACAGATACCAAAAGAAAAAAAAAATTCCCAGGAAGTTTGGGAGGTGTGGTGTCTGGACTACAGAAATGCTCTGTAAAAGCAAATAAATCAAGTTTTCACACTGTGCTATATAGCAAAGGAAAAACCAAACCAAACCACTATGGGAATGGGGAGGTCTTACATCTCTTTGTCTCAGACTTCATTTTAAGAAATGAATCCCCTATAATTATTGCCTGCTGGAAGCTCACTAAACTTGTGTCGTGCTTAATGCTAGGAAAATGGATCAAAATCCATTACCCAAAACCTGGACATTTTTGTTCCTAACTGCAAGCATATCCATCCAACTAAGATTTTATAATATGCACTGATATTAGTGTCCTGGTACATATACACAGAAAAGCAAAAATATTACTACCTTAAGTGTTCTGCCATCTACCACCACGTTATTGACACACTGTATGGCTCTGAGAGCATCTTCTGACCGGATGTATGTTACATATGCACTGGCACTTGGACCCTAGAAAGGAAACATACCATATTTTTTTTTTAATCTCTCCAGATAGAATTGGACATTAAGTTGCTTTTCACTTCATAAACTCACTAATTCACTGCTAGATGTTTTTAATAGGAAAACCAACAAAATTGGTGGAATCCATGAAAATTTACATGTAATGCATAAAGAATTGGGAAAATAAGAAATGTTGCCTGATCTAGTTGAGAGGCGTCCCTGCCCATGACAGGGAGGTGGGATTAAATGATCTCTAAGGTCCCATCCAGCCTAGGCCATTCGATGATGATGATGATGTTGCTTGGAAGTTCTAAAAATGCTCAAGGGTATTTTATCCTTGAAACACAGAGTAGTGAGTAAAAGCTACATTGCTGCTTCTTTGAAGGTTCTCATCCCATATCATAGTTTTTAACATTGCATCTTGCATTCAGCTTTGAGAGTCTGGGTGGACAATGCCTCAGTAACTTAACAGTAATTTGACTTTTGCAATGCTGTATCTTTTCTTTTTACTTCTTTAACCTATTGCTTAATCAGAAATAGAGAGCCCCAAATTCACTCTGCACACGTGTATTTTTCTCTGACGGAATTAAAAAAATATCACAAGGGCCTCTTAACTTACCTGTGAGCCTGCATATGATGTACTGTTATTAATGACGACTTTATGTATTTTACCAAACTTCCCAAAATATTCTGGTCGTTTCAAAACCTACAAGAAAAGAAAGTTAAAGTGGTATACTGGAAAATTAATTCACATATGGCTGCATTATTCTTCCACATAACTGTGAAAAGACAGCCTTTTAATAACAAACAGATCTCTTCCACAAAGGGAAGAACATGTATACGCAGGGTGTTTTTCAATGTAAAACGTGACTATTTGCAATACAGAGTACACCGCCACTGTTATAAAGAACTTGAATGAAGGATACCCCATATTTTACTGTGGGTTTTCTTAATTTTTTTCACTACACAGATCACTCAAACCCCACTCTGGCAAAATACAGGAATATTTCATGCCAAATAAGAAAAACGTATCTGCTTCATAATTTGAGGAAAATTAAAAATCACATTCATTCCAGTTTTAAAATAACCGCCTTAAACTTGCATTCAGATATACTAACTGCTAGGAACAAAACACTGAATCCTGACTCGCTTGCCCCACTGCAAAGAGAAAAAGAATAAACCAATCAGCTCAAGATAGCCTCAAGTTTTCAGAAGACCAGACTAAGTACAGGAAGACAGTATCTGACACTTAACAGGTGTGAGAAAAAAATGTTTCAAAAGCAACATGATGCTAAGATGAATGAGTATCACACCCCTGAAGAAAAAAAAAAAACCACAACAACAAATGCTCCTCTGTTGCCCTTCCCTGCATCAGTAAGTACAAATATTTATGGATCTTGCACAAAGCAGCAACATCTCCATCATATTAGGCAACTCTGCTGAACACCGGTTACCCACGTGCCATGGGCCTGGCAATGCATCTGACACAATCTGTACCAAAAGCCTTTTTTTTTTTAATCCCCATAATAGAAGGGGGTGCAAGCAAAAGCACTGACTGATCAGACTGAAGCTAGATAAACTAACAGTATTTCTAGTTCTAGACAATAACCTGAGAGGTTAAAAAGGAAGATTCGTTTCCCCAGGTCTGTCTTCATATTAACCCTGGACAGTACAGTTAAGCTGTACTGATCCAAGCACTTCTTTACTTATCATCTCCTCTCCCTTCTCAAGGGAGCATCAAAGTCTTCGAGATCTAACAGCATTAATCACATTTGGAACAACCTGTAGAACTACAGTGCCCGTTGTACAGACAACCAGTCTCACTCACTGGCCTCTTCTGACTGCTCTTCACTTGATCCATATCCTTTTGAAAGATCCTACATCCCATCTTTGGGCATCATTCCAAGAGACTGGCAATCTTGAGTAAAGTAGAAGAGTTTCTTCAAGAGTCTTGCAGATTATACTGCTGATGAGATATGGCAGCACAGCCTTCACAGTTTTCACAAGAGCATGTCAACAGAAGTGGATCCACCTGTACTCCATTATGAGCCACAGATCTATTTCCAGAAACAGCAAATAGCAGCCAATCTCCCCTTTCAAATCATCTTTACTTGTGCAGGAGTTTTTTGCTTGCTCGAGTGGAAAACTGAAATAGGACATATTGAATACTTATTTTTTAGCCCATCTCTCCTTCAGGCTAGCTTTCTTGGAAATCAAGTCATCTTGGTGCAATAGGCAATATTCAGTAAGTACACATTATCTTCTGGTATGTACTTAAATCCTCTATCTGGTCAAAGAAACCCAATACATTTTTCAGTAATAAATAGCACCAAGCCAATGTTGACAGTTGTTTGCAAATATTTGTGGCTCTATTCTTGTAGAAACTCAAGCGTTACATGCCAGATCAGTTTAACTTTGATTTTTCTCTTTCCTTCATATCCCTCCCTTTCTTCCCCCTTCAATAAGAGCAGCTTTTTACAGTTGTTCTTTCCCAGTCTACCAAAATGCAGCCCATACTCTGCAAGTCCTCAGAAACAGACACTTCTATCTGAGATTTCTCAGAGAATTTAGTCCAATCAATTTAACTTGGCACAGTAGTTTTGAAAACATCTATCTTATCCTGTAGTTCATTCCCTCCATATTCTAATGCAGGTACTTTCACTCATTAGCACTAATTCCATTAGCCACCCGCAGCTGAACTATTGATGGAATAAATAAAACATTTTAAACACAATTGGTTTTGTCAACATAATTGGTTCTTTTTGATGATGAAGAGTAGCAAGCCAACTCTTTCCTGGGTCTTCGTCTTACTACTTTTTTCTCCCTCAACTGACATCACCCTTTGCTCCTTCTTAGTTACACTTCAAGTGTTGGCTTTTTTCTTCTGGCCCTACAAGTTTGTGCTACACTACATTTGCTCTTTACAATTCAGCCAATCTCCTAATTTAGAATTGGTGCTGCACGACACAGCTACATAGTGCCAGCAGAACCAGTTTAAGAACATTAATATCTAAAAAAAAAAATCCTTAAGCTTATTTTTAGGTAAACAACAAACCATTTTTAAACAAATACAAAGAACAATTTCCTTAACAAAGCATCCATATTCCCAAAAAGCAAAGATATAAACGCTTATTGAGGTTATTTTTGAGAAGGAATCCAAACAAGCTCCCTTAAGAGGGGACCTCACCAGCAGTGAACCTTTTCAATGCTGCTTCATTTTCTACCCATCAGATAGACAGACAAAGCTGTGCACAAGGTTATTCCAGTGGTTTCTTGACAATAAGTTAAGAGCAAGATGTGTAAATGTGAACTGCTCACCTCTGGATCTGCTAGGCGCTGAGACAGCCCTACCACGAAGACGAGGTTCTTCTGTACAACCCGTACACTGGCCAAATGTTTGCGATTCTCTGATATCTTCTGTTTCCTCTCATTTTGTTTCTGTTTCTTTTCATTTTTTATCCTTTGCAGCTCTTCCTGGGAGAGTGGTTTGTACACTGCTGGATCTTCTGGATATGGCTAAATACAACAAATACCATTAAGAACAACCCATATAAGAAACAAATTTGAAAATCATTAATCCTGACATTTTAATATACAAACTTCTTCGTTATGCTGTTCTGTCTGTTATGGCCCATCAGATTTTATAAGTGGCATATTCCATCCTTTAGGAAAGGTGAATACCTTGCCTATTTCCCCAGAATTCTCCTATTTATAGACATAAGACTGATTTAGGCAATCACCACACTCTAACCCAGCCATCTAGTCAGCTTGGTAACACTACAAGCAGCTGCAATATGACAGCCAACACATCCTGTTAAAATTTCACTAACACAGCATAGTAAGTAGGGTGAAAGCATGTCCTGAATATTCACTTTATATTTAGTTGTCTGATACAGATATGGATACTTAAGTGTATTAGCAAAGTAAAGACTATGGGATAAGAATTCTAAATAGAAATGCAATTTCACTGGCCCATCAAGCTCAAGATGTAACACCAGCACATGGCTCAATCTTTTCACGGCTAACTTCTTCTAGTCAAGAGACAGATTTCAATACCATTACTGCTCACTGATTTAATAGTATTCTTACTGTGTTTGTGTTATCAGTCTGAAATTTGGGCTTTGTCTTCCCTGGACAAAGGTACATTTTTAACCTCAAGATTATCAGATACAGATAACTCCTAAAAGACAGACATAATAGATTTTAATTTCAAAAGTACCTTCTGCTAGTGTAAGTGTTCTCAGAATTATCTAGAAAGACTGCTCCCCTTGCCTTTATAGCAACGCTCTGCACACTATTTTAGCCTGGTCTACACCACAGTGCACTGTCCTCTGCCCCAGATTACTTCCTAAAGCAGTCCCACATCCCTTCCCTGTCCCAATTTTTTCAGACTGAGAGGTTATATTTCACACTTTATACGTAAAGGAAAGCTAAGCAAAGCAACAAGTAAATAAAAATACATTTCAGACAAAAAGAAGTGTTTCTAAACACTGAGATGAAGTAAAAAATGAGTAAACTACAAGAGATGTGCATTACAGTGAAGGCTTAAGATGAATAACTTAGGCTCACCAATATGTTGGAACTCAGTTCTTTGCTTGTACCACCATAACCAAAGGTTTCAATACGCAAGTTCAACAACAATGGATTTCATTCTATCCTGACTGCCCTTTGCTAATGGTAGAACACAAAACTAGCTGACATACTGTATGACCTGAGAGAAATCAAAAGCAGAAGACGAAAATAAGGCTTAGGTTAAAAGCACATATTCCTCATGCTTGCATGATGCTGCTGAAAGAACCAGCAAGTCCTCACACCAGATCATCTTCTGAGTACACCCCCAAACAAAACAAGAGCCATTTTACACTTGGAAGTTCAGCATCATTACACTATACTTGAGACATCTTCTAAAAATACACTGCAGTCAACTTCAGCAGATGGCATCTCATGGTTAAACAATAAGTTCTCTGCAACATGTTTTTAGTATCACAAAGCAATTTAAACTTGTAAGCTACTTTAGCAGTAGCCAAAAGGTGGCCAGACACTGGAATAGACTGCCTAGGGAGGTGGTTGAGTCACCATCCCTGGATGTGTTTAAGCATCGCTTAGATGTGGTGTTGTGGGATATGGTTTAGGAGTGAACTTGTAGTGTAGGGTTAATGGTTGGACTCAATGATCCCAAGGGTCTTTTCCAACCTGAATTGTTCTATGATTCTGTGATTCTATGAACTAACTTCTTAACATGAAGACACAGTAAGGACTCATGCTACCCTTGAAGAGCAGTTAAAACTGCTATTTCTTAAAAAGTTATGTTATTCACAACGTACTTGACAAACAACAGTGACCTGTTAGTAAATCATTTGAGATTAGCTATGGCCAATGATTATTTCGAGTTTTAACACATGTACATATGAGGACTTCAGAGATGCAGAACAATTCTGCAAGGCATTTCACTTTTTAAACAGCTTTTCAAACTCTGTGTTAGTCAATCATACAGAATAAAGAACAGATATTGTTTTGGTTTAGAGAAAAGAAAGACCGCTTGGCAAAGAGACAGTTAATTCGGTTATCACAATCAAGCTGAGTTAGGGTAGGAATGGGAAGAAAACAAGTGCAGCAGTATAAGGCAGATACAGTTTCAAAAATAAAGTGGCTTGCCCTACATCAAGTGATGTGGTATCATAACCACAAACCACCCTTTCACAGATTAATTCCTTCTTCACATCCTATACTACACAAGGCAAGGCTTGCAAGCGTGCTAGCCTCTGGTACTGTTAAGAAACAAATTCACTGTTTTCAGCAGGTTCAGTAAGGCTCCTCAAGGTTCAAGAAAACTACAGCAAACAGTGCTAAAGTTCATCAGCTTCTTTCTTAGAATCATAGAAGGTTGAAAGAGACCTTCAATGGTCATCCAGCCCAACTGGATGTAAGCAGGGACATCTTTAACTAGATCAGGTTGCTCAAAGCCCCATTCGACCTGACCTTGAATGTCTCCAGGGTTGGGGCTTCTACCACCTCTCTGGGCAACTTGTTCCAGTGTTTCACCACATTCATTGTGAATTACATCTAGTCTAAATCTACCTTCTTTCATAATTTAAAGCCATTACACCTTGTCCTATTGCAGCAGGCGCTGCTAAAAAGACTGTCACCATTTTTCCTTAGGCCCACGTTAACTATTGAAAGGCTACAGTAATGTCTCCCTAGAGCCTTCTGTTCTCCAGGCAGAAACACCTCAACACTCTCAGCTTTTCTTCATAGGAGAGGTGCTTCAGCCCTCTGATTGTTTCTGTGGCCTCCTCCAGATTTACTCCAACAGGTCCACATCCTTCTTGTGCTGAGGACTCCAGAGCAGAGGGGCAGAATGACCTATCTTGACCTGCTCGTCACACTTCTCTCGACACAGCCCAGGATGGGGTTGACTTTTGGGCTGCTCTCACTAAGTATAGCACATTCAGAGCATATTCTCAAATGAGAAGCAAGTCCAACAGTATGTTCTTTCTCTGTATTGCTATTTGCTACTGAAGGTTGTGAGTATCAGCCAGGAAACATCCTGGGTAGCTCAAGCATTACCATGTGCAGAATGGTAATCTGTCCATAGTAAAACTAATAGTTTTTATTTGTACAGGAGAACACAAAAAATTCTGGGAGGTATAAAACTAAACAGCAACTTCAGAATCAGGAAAGAGAAATGTCTTGAAGCACGAGACTGCTTGAATAAGGATTTCAATCACTAAGAAGTAGCAGCAGTTGATTCGCCGCCACTTGTTTGAGCGACAGAATCATCAGAAGTTCTCACTAGATACTGTTGAGCTGTATTATAAATTAAATGTTTCATACATATGTTTATCACTCTTATGACAGTCTAATGCTGCTAAGGAATATAAGTAGTTGGATATCCTGACTTGCAGGACCCGTAAATGAATCTGTGTGCACCTCCTGAATCACTAGATTAAATCAGAAACCCAATCTAAGAAGGGATAGATTATTTTTCTATCTATACATGAGTGGCCCAATGACAGATAAGAGATACTGTGCATTTAAGGAGTGAGGAAGACAAGTAAACACAGCACCAATATTTCAGAAGCGAATTCTAAAAACCTCTAAGTATTAGAAATCCTGTTCCCTTCAAATAAGAGCATACAATCAGCCTACAAATAGGACAATAAATCATTTCATCTTCAGAGTGATTGCTCCCCACAGTGTTGAAGCTGATGGACTTATGCAAGGAAGGCTAGGTGCAACACAGCTCTGAAAGCCAAGCACAGCAAATTGGCTGCTGGTGTATCCCATAGTACCACTTGACATTTACTCTGTCTAGCCCTACAAAATAGGGATAAGGGGAGGACAACAGGTACCCAGAAGCTCTAGGGTCTTACAAAAGACAAAGCAGCAATGCTACTGACACGATCACTTCATTACAAAAAAAAAAAAAAAAAAAGCAGCAGCATAAGATACATGTTGATTCTATCACTGATTCCTTAGCTAGTAGAAGGTATGAAATACAAGCAAAGTAGCTATATTAAATGTTTTCAGCATTTATGTATTTTCAGATGGAAGACATTAAGAGATGTCAACATCACTGATTCACTAAGTTTAGATGACACCTTCCACTTAAGTTATACACATCCTCTTCAGCAAAAACCATGGAAGCCACCTGAACAAAATGTGCCAACATGGAAAATAGTCTGACCAGATTTTGTTCACACTAACTGCAAGTTGCTGGTAGTCCTAACAAGAACTTCATCAACAGTTCAAATGTCTCTTCTGTAGTCTCAAGAGATGGCCCTTGATGAATTCTCAGTCTTCCTGACTAAGTTTGTCGTATCATTTAAGTTTTGTTTTCTTTCAGACTTTTTTCCCCACATTTTCCCAATTGTTGAAAGCTGAGCTGGGATTTATCAAGCACTTTGCTTTTGTCATTCCCAGATGGGTCACATTCCTTCCATACAACAGATGTACCAACATTTCCCAGTTGTTGCCTTGCTACCAAATAGGTTCTGAAATGAGAAATACAGAGAAAGTCAGTAAGATTTATGCATAGTTCACACCATACTATTTATACCAAGAATAAAAATTAGCAATTTCTTAAAAATTTCTGAATACCCTTCATTCCATTAAACTACACAGTTTTAGGATTAAAAGCAGAGGAAACAACTGACACTTAAGAGACTGTGCATTAAGACCAGGTGTTCCTTTTACACAGAAGCAGGACCAAAAACACACTTAGGACATGTTAGTTTCTTGGTCATAAATGCAGCACTTCACTCTTTCTCTCCATCTCTAATACAATGTGCTAAAAGGAATAAAGCTCACTAAATCAAGGAACTGAAGAACAAGGCAAAGTCACACCACAGGAGAGCTGTGTATCGAGTTATATTATTTGGTAGAAGGGCAAAGCAAGCAGGAAATGTGAGAGAGCTAGGCTTTTTTGTTGGATTTTAAAATTGCAACAAGTGACATAAGGTCGAGTGTGCTATGCTCTATTAAAAGCAATACAAGCAACTGAAGTGGTACGTATTATTCATATAACAAAGAGTACCTAGGCCATTGAATTTTAAAGAAAAATCGCTGCAAAGACAAAAATCACTGTTTACAACCAGAACAGGCTAGTCTGGTGACCTGTAAACCAGCTTTTTGCTACATTCATCTCTTTTGAGGACAGCATATTTTCATTCTAATTTTACTAGTTAGCAGCTATTTCACTCACAGTTAAGAAATCAATTGACCGGAAAAAACAGGAAGGCCTGCTTAGCATCTTACAATTGACTACATGTACAATTCTGAAGGGCATCAGGAACTCAAAGCAGGTCAGTTCTATTTAAGGAAGTACTTTTTGCAGTTAATGAATTGACCAGGAACAATTTCCAAGTCTATTTCGGAAGATTCAAACAAGGTTTAGAAAGCTTTTAATGTGTGAAAACTAACAATCACTATTTTCAAGCAGCATTCCAGTTAAATTCATACTAGCACCTTACTTTCACAAATCAAAACAAAGCAAATGTTTGTCTACTACTGTTACTAACAGAAGAATTTCTTAAAAGGCATTAATTCGATGGCAACCACATGAACATATTCTGCACATGCAAATATTAAGTTATATAACAGCTCAAGCATGTAGAAGTATTTTCTTCCTGGTGGGAAAAACTGCAAGCTAACATCTTTTCACTTAGAGAAGCTTAGAAAAATCATGGTATATATGCAGGGCACACTTAATATCTATCAACAGCATAATCACCACTGTAGTATATAGCCACAATATTTTATCCCAGACTTTTCCAAAATCTCCCCCAAACTTTTCAGCCAAAATCCCTCAACAGCAAAAAACTTTACTGCCCCTCTCCACAGACTACTAATTAAATAACTGGAGAACTCGCACTGCATTCAATACCATCGGCACAAATAGCAGTTTCTATTATGTAATTGTGCATAAAATTCAGCCTTCTTTTAATATAGTTTATTCAGAACATTCTTCATAAGTACTCTGCATCGGTATATGCATTACAAACACAACACACCTTTTCAAACTATAGTACCTACTATAAACTTTCCTGCAGAAATTTTGTTGCTTTGCAATGTTCTGCACTTCTGCATTTTAAGTGGTCACAACTGATGCACACCACAGCAGATATGAATTTGAAAACTGTGTAGGTCTTTTCCCCAGAAAATGTACTATACACAGGAACCATTTAGACATACCGCACACAAAAAACCCACATACCTGGTTCAGAAGGTCAAGCACACTTCAAAAGGTGGCTTCTTCACATTTACTTGTTGCCATCATCAACTGCATAGCTCAAAATAATTTATTCCCAAAATCCTGATGGAGCCTCTGCATCACAATGACTTTGTGCCATAAAAGGAGTATACTCATCAGCCTCCTCCAAGCAGATCTTCTACAATTCAGCAACATAGCTGCAACTCTACTCAAGAACATCTTGCAGTCCATGGATTGAAGAAAGCACCAAGAACATAATCCTTGTTCATTGTGAAAGAAGAGGTCTCCTTCCTCTCCTGGAACAGTTGGTGTGCTTCATTCTGATGGTAGCACTCATTCTAGCTTTCCTCCAGAAACTGTTTTCTGAGCAAACTGTATCCAACTCCGGAAAATATTTGCACATCCAATCATATGCCAGGTAATTCCACATTGAAAAGTCTGGCTGCAGCAGTATCCATATTTCAAAGAATTCAGATGCCCAGAGGGAGTGAATAGCATACTGCATCTGAGATTTTTATATATATTCCACACGCTTCCAATAATGAACAGGTAAAGACGAATCAAAGAGTTGTTCGCAAAAAGTGGTGTAAGAAATTCAGGCAAATGAAGCAATTCAGACAAGGAAATTCCAGAAATCTCATGTCGTACCAGAAGAGTAAAAACTTGCTTGTAGTATGAAAATTACTGTACAGCATGTGTCATCTACAGCACGTATCACATGTGGAGACTGATTCGGTCAGTGACAGGTACATCTTCCTTTTAGAGCGTGCAGTTCAAATATTGCATCAAGTTTGTGCAACTTGTTAACAAATATGTTAAGTTGCTGTGGGATAGCCTTCAGGCTTGCAGAGGCATCCAAACACAGGTTAGCAGTGACAGCTCTAGTGTAGCCAAAGCCCAAAAGAGCAGCAAGAGAATATGACTGGAAGGGCCTATAGAAAGCTGTGGCAGTGACTGAAGATAGTGAGACCAAGTAAGATTACTTGAAGTCTCAAAAGGAGCTGTAATATGAGACAGGAAGCCAACAAAGGCATAAACTGAGGATAGGATCACGATTAAGTAGCAGAAGAAATAGAGGACCTAAGTAGCTGCGATTACAAAAAGAGGAAGGGCAGGCAAGAAAGTTACAATCAAGGCGAAGTCATTAAAGAGAAAAAGATACTGAGAAACAATTTTATTAAAACACTAAAGATAAGGAAATAATGAGGTTAAGCGAAACACTAAAAGCATAAGGAAAATAATTCAAAGGAAAAAGCAGGCAACTTAGTGAAGCTGAAGTTTACAGTTGTGGCCAATCAAAGTACCAGCCAGACCTCAATTAAGAGACAGGGAGAAATTGTGACTCTCAAAGTACTACCTTTAAGCATTTGGCAACAAAATCAGAATACTAGACAAACAGATTTAGCTCAGATTTTGGAATGCTTTAGACTTTAACACCATTGGATATATTTTTCCAAAGGTTTTACGTATTTAGTGTCCAGAAAAATATAGATTCAAAGCTCCAGTGCCAAAGACAAAACAAGCAGGTGCTTTATAAGCTTGCCTCGCACAGCTCTGCTCATTTAGCTGAACCTTGGCCCTCAGCAAACCCCTGATGCTGGAATTCTCACTGTCCTTCCTGTAAAGACTTTGTCAATGCATGAGCACCTCAACTCAAAGGATTTACTTTTTTAAAAACAGTTCTCCCAGCATCAGCATGCCTTGGTTCTGATCCACGGCTTCCCCTATAAATCCAGTTCTGAATCTAACAAACCAAGACTAACCGTTGTGCAACAGCTTTGACACATGAGTATGAAAGATCCAACACCTCACCCTTGATATAGGCCATGACTAGAAGAATGTTTCCCTCAAGGAACAAGATGTCTTGGGTACCAACAAAATGCAAGAGCCTTGTGATATGTGCAAGAGAAGCCGCTGTTCCAGGATATTTACCTTTCTGCAAGCAGGACAAAGTCCATTCTCATCAGTGCGGATACGATGCCAACAGAAACGACATATTTGGTAGCCACAGGTGCAAGGGAAGAAGTTGATGTCATCAATTTCCAGAGGTTCCATGCAAAGGGGGCATTCCACAGGGTCTTCCTTAGCATCAGGGCTGCGAGACATCTTTTTGTGTTCGCAGAGCAGCAAAAGTTTATAATAACTTAATAGACCGAGAAGGTCAGCACTTGAAAGTCTGCAAGAGGAAATAAAAAGAGAGGGAAAAAGAGTGATTAATACTTTTGACAACCTTTCTTTTCCACCTTTTACTACTTCAGTTCTTCATCCGGTTAGCTCAGTCAGTTGAGTGTAGCACTAACAACACCAAGGTCGCGGGTTTGATTCCTGTTCGGTCCCCATGTGTTGCCTGATCTAGTCAAGAGGTGGCGTCCCTGGCAGCAGGGAGGCTGGATTAAAATGATCTCTAAGGTCCCTTCCAGCTTAGGCCATTCTATGATTCTATGATGGATTCTATGATCACTTTCCTTCTCCCGACACAAATCACCTACTAGCACACAAGTTACTCTCTAATAAACATGACTGTCTCTTCTTACTTACGAGTCACACAAATAATATGAATGATGGTACTGGTGATGTATCTCCCTACCTGGAGGGGCAAGCACTTCTTGGGCAGTTTATTAGCCTACTTGGGTTTCAAAATGCACAGCTGCAAAGAAATGCTTAACAGCGTACACCACGCACTGCCTCTAAGTTCTGCCAGTTCAGCTATTGCTTTTTTGAAGTTTCCTAACAATCCAAAGGCAGATCCTTGAATGCAGGACTGAACATTTAAGATCATTTTATTCCTTTGCTCAGAGACTTGGAACAATCAGAGATCTAGAACAGCATTTAGATCATTCATTCAGACTTGTCAGTAGGTTATAGAATTATCAAATAAAACCAAGGAAAGCTTCTTACTCAGGAGGATTTGTTTCTTTGTCTCATTTTTTGATCCAGAGGTTGACCTCTGAGATCAGCCTTATGACAACAGCATTATCTAAGACTTGCCAGGTACACTGCTTTCTACATGTTAGACAACTTTAATCAAGTAATTTATGCTCTTCATCAGCATCCAACTCACACCAAAGCTCAAGTATATGCATGCCCCTCAAAAACCCCCAAGGGTGCAACCACAATGAAGTATTTCCAGATCAGAATTTTGTTGAGGATCAAAATTCAGTCACCATTTTATTAACTCATTTCTTCAACACAGTCATTTCAGTATGTCTAATAATGCAGCACAAGAAAGTTACTTTCAGGCATAGTCACCACTGAGATATTCAGTCAGTTTCAGGGTTTTTTCTTCTTTATGTTTCATTTAAGTACCACTCTGGATATCTGAAGCGGTATCTAATCTCAACAAGCTGTCTCAGTCTGCTGCATGACACATGCACGTAGACTAGGCAGAACTAAAGGGCAACAGTAATTGTTTTTTTCCCCTCTAGAAGGTTCACAAAAAAAAACAACAAAACCACACCACAAAAAACCCCAAAACACCACAACCAGAAACCTACTGAAAAGCACTGACAGAGATGTGACTAGAACTGATAGTTGGATGCTCATACTACCTGTGAAAAATGACACTACTTTGAAATAATTGCTCAAAGTTTTGAAAAAATCCAAATTTCTTTTTGCAATTGCACCTTTCCCAAAACACCAGTCATGCAATTACAATTTAACCACACACACATTCTGGAGTTCCCTCTACTTTCCCAGATAGCTTTCCATTTCATTTCTAACCAAAAACTACTAGATCACATAATACCCAATCCTTCTCTAGGCTTTTAGGAGCAAGTCCAGAAATAAATTCTCACATCCACCTACTTGAAGAAGACTGACATACTCCTGTCCTTGGAAATAAGATGACTGAACGTTATGAGAACAAACCCTTGCTCACAGATTTTTGTGTGTTGCAGTGTTAGCCTTACGTATCTTTGGTTCAGTATACTTTAACCACAAAAAGTCCTGTTTATGATCTTCAATGCTCTAAATCATACTTCCTTGAAGCTCATCTTCTAAAGTCCAAGAGGTTCCAGGTCAAGTTGGGACTTCCCACCTTACAGGATAGGATCCTTTTAACATTAGTTTGCATACTTGTCCCCATCCTGCACATCTCACTTAAGGGACAGAAATTCCTCTGCAAGCTGTCAGGAGAGAACCACAAAGAGGCACACACACACACACACAAAACCAAAGCACCATCCAAATACACAGCACTGAGTACAGTCAAGCTGTAGTCATGTTAACCTGTGTTAATAGGCTGATATCAGAAGCCTGGAATAACTGCAATTTCATCTAGTTTGGTAGGGAGTACAGCCTCTAGGCACAAAGCATAGTTGTGGTAAACATGTACCACTTGCCCTAGAGAGAAGTTCTACTGGATGCTCACATAAAAGTAAGGATGAGAGAATGAATTTTAGATGCTGTAAGCATAATTTCTCTGTGTGGCACGTACTAGCAACAACACTGTCCTCTTTCTGACCTTCACAATAATAAACACCAAAAAGACTCCTATAATAATACTGCAGCTTTTCCTTCATTATCTACGCTTTCATTAGTGCTATATCTACAATCATTTCAACAGACTCCAAACCAGGTTCTGATACTTCACCAGTGTTTTCTGTGGAGAACACTAACATAATCTGACCTGAAGGAAGGATTAACTTGTTTAGAGCTTTGACTTGTTTTTAAGAACACATTCCCACAGGCTGAAGAGTGGGAGGGACAGTTAAAAGGCCACAGCACATTATTCAATTGCTTATTATGCAGATAACACATTTTTACAGCAACCTTTTCTTTTCCTGCAAGGTTTTCACATTTGTATAGCAGCAAAACCATTACAATATGAAAAAGACTTTAAACCAAAGCATGGGATAAACTGAACAGATTTTGTTCAGTTTAGATTTGGATTTGACTTTGTCACAGATCTCCAAACAACAGGTCAGTAAGCAGACAGCATATTCCTTTTGACTGGGTACTCATTCCATCGCATGCTCAGCAGCTTTGAGCCTACTGAAACACATCTAGATAAAGCTACACTAGTAAAGCTGTAGTTAAAAGCACAGTTTTGAAGAAACTTCAGCCACGACAGTACAACTACTGAATTATGAAGTTACTGTTTGGAATCTCTGTTAAGAAATGCCATCAGTTCATGTGAACAAAAGTATGACATATTAGCTAATGCCTCTGAGATATGTAGACAAGCTCTAAAAAAACTGCTGCATGATTAACATGATTATGAACTGTTTAAGTTAACACTAAGAGTTCAGCAGCTGCTCACAATAATTGCAATAGTTTGCTTCAGTCAGGAAACGCACCATTATTTTACAACAAGGAGTAAAGAGCAGCTGTGTGCCACGTTTCTTGAAACTAAGTAAGAGGCAATATTTATTTACTTGGAAAAAGATCATTCGGGCATCCCAAAGACAGATTATCCACTGAAGTGCATCTCCATTTCAGGAGAGTTTATATACCAGGATCTGTGTCTCAACTCTGCATCAGAACAATGCCTGTTTTTTCAAAACTAGAGTAACATGCATAATAAGGCACTACTAATGCATTGCTCATATAACACTACCAAGAAACACAGGGTAGCTAGTCAGCTCTAAGGCTATTCCAAACAATTCAAGATTAACGTCACAGGAAAGTAACAAAATTATGGCAAAAAAACAAAAGGCAGTACTACACGTTGTGTTTAATCCAGAATATTTGGTGTTTGAGGTCAGGTTCAAAGAGATTAAAATAACAGCATCTCAGGAGAAGAAAATGAGGAAGGTTGCACATATGTATACAGGCAACACAAGCAGCTAGAATTTGTCCATAGAGTTTCCAAAACACCAACAACTGCAGTCAAACAGGGCTCCAATAGCTCTACATCCTGTTTACAGGAGACTTTGCCAAAACATTCATGCACACAGGGATGGAGCAGAGGTGGACAATGTCCAGCAGCATCTTTCAGATTTCATGGTTTTGTAATCAGTAATAATTAAAAAATAAAAATATAGGGCTGTGTCATAACCCTTTCCACCATACCATAATAAGTTCTTTTCTTTTTCAAAACCACACAAAATGAAAAAAGATGATTTTTCACTAACTTCTAAAAGTGTTTCCTTAGTATATTTGACAGCTGTGTCTAATCAGCTTCTCTGTACAATTTTTCTTCCTTATGAAATCCTCCAAGCTTTACAGCTGAGAAACAGATCCTACCCTACCATTTGAGGCTACTCACCTAAACACAATTTTACTTCTAATACAGCTAGCGATTTCAGATTTAGGATGTGGACACTGCCTTTCCCTTTCTCATTTGAGGTGAGCAAGTTTAGCTTTCAGCAGTTTATCTTCTCTATTTAATTTTAAAAGGAGTCATAAAAAAAAGTTGCAGGGGAAAACAAACAACTTGTTACCCATTCTTCTTCATCAAGTGCAGCTTTCTGAGATTTTACACACATTCTCCCTCACTCTCCCCAGAGCAGACACCCAAACATTTCCACTTGCTAGCACTTTGGTTTAGTGAACATGTTCCTTAAAGCTGAAGTCCTCCCCCAAGAAGGCAGCTAGCTTCAGGGGATACAGACACATTCTCCCCCTCACACAAAGATCTGTATCCAGGTTTGTTGCTTGCTTTGCAAAATTAAAAGCATCAAAGCCAAAAGTTGTCAAAAGCTAGTCAAGAAAAACCTGAGTAAGGACTTCCATCCCAGAAAATATTTGGAGACTTAGGGCCTCTTGAAGGAAAAAATCCAGACATGTGTTAGCTAATGTTTCACTTAAAGTTCAAACATACCCGACACTTGAAGTGAAACAGGTCGGAGTCTATGCACTGAACCTTTAGTAAGGGCTCATTAAACTTAAACAAACAGAAACTCACACTTGTTCTCATAGCCTCTATCTTCTGAAACTCATCAGCCCCAAGAAGTCTCAAAAATGCGCTGCGGATGCTGTCTGCTTAACATCGTAGGGAAGACGGCTCCCCTGGGACCTCCATTCCCATCCTGCCAAAGGATCACTTCCCTTTCCACACTTCACTTCTGTGGTGATCCCCCACACAAGCTGGAGGCAGAAGGTGGAGCAGACTACAAGCAGCGGTTATAAGGGGTTATCCCTTCCTTGAATCATGGGAGCAGCAGCAGTTCTGTCAGCACAGCGCTCTTCTCCAGGCCAGCACAGGGGACACAGCAGCCCCAAGG